GCACTTTGACATGCTTTCAAACTGCTAGGTGGGCAGGAGCTGGGACTGAGCAACGGGAGCTCACCCCGTCGTGGGGATTCAAACCACCGACCTTCTGATCGGCAAGCCCTAGGATAGCTCAAATGTACTCATCCGCTGGGGTTGCTAGTGCAAAGCCCTGAACCATGCTGTCAAGCCATGTGCATTAGACTCCTCTTCCACAAGACAATCCAATCATGTGCTGCATTAACAGGCAAGCCTCGGCTACCCACACAAACACTCCATTTGAATGAATCAGCATGAAGAGAAGTTCAAAAATTGCTCTCGACATGTGGATTGCCAACACAGCCAAATACTTTTCAAGCGAGCATGGTTGTTCACACACAGAGCACTCTTACCTTTCTGTAGTATGAAACAACATTCCACTGAAAGAGATCAACCCTTCAAAATTCTTTGCTCGTCTCAAACAGGAAGCAAAGCTTGCATTACATAAATTTATATCCAAATTCCTTGTGCTAAATTCACAGAGTTCAATTCTGTACACACCGATATATTAAAAGTTAATGTATCAACACTATTATTTAAGGGCCATGACGCAATCAACCTGCCCCTATATACCTGTGCTACTGGAGAATTACTGTGTAATTAAGCATTTTGCAGAAGGGAGCTGACAGAATCCGGACCTGTGTTACTTCAGAATGCAAGTTGTGTTTGGTGCGGGGACATATATGCTTTTAATTTCCCACATGCAAAAAACTTTCTGAATGTAGTAAACCAGAATATCAGGGAGAGACAGCTTTCGATACAGTAATCTCCCTGATGGGTTACTTTACAACATGCAAGTAGTGTTTCATATGGCAAGGCACAGATGGGACACACCCACCTGCTGTCAAATGGGGGAAGGAGCACCTGCAGAAATGGGGAGACCTACCTAATCAGCACATGACAAGACCAACATTTTAGTGGGATCAAATGAAAGAATCACTGGGTTCTAGAAATGATGAAACTGCAGGAAGCGGAACACCCCGTTTTGAATCTGGGGAGAAGGGGAAATAGCAGCATTTTCCAAAATGAAGGGGAAGTGTAAGACAGAAATACTAGGAGGAAAGACACCCAGTTATTGATGTGGAAAAGAGGGGGGGAAATGTGCAACCAGAGATTGACAGCACAGTAGCAAATATGTGATTGATAGAGTAGCAAAATGAAGTTAACTGTATATTCCATAAACAAGGAGAATACATCTAGCTAATACTTGGATGAATACCCAAGATTCTCTGGAGAGCAGATAGCAGCTCCACAAATGATTTTTCCCTTCCGGACTTTGGCAAGTTTCTGGTTCCATTTAATTCTAACCATTCTGTTTCTCAGAAGTCGCTTTTCATTTAGGAATAATAAAACCACTAGCAGTCACAGAATTCTTCTGACAATTCCCACCCTGGCCAGATTATAAAGTCCAAGTTCTTCCACAGAAACACACACCCCTTCCTACTATATAAACGTTTGCAACACAAGACAAGGATTTCTTGCTGTCATTTTTAACTACCCGTATTTTTCGCTCTATAACACACACCCGACCATAACACACACGTAGCTTTTAGAGGAGGAAAATCCGTAGCCATGCCACCTGTAGGCATTTCCTCCATAGCACGCACAGACATTTCCCCTTAATTTCTAGGAGGAAAAAAGTGAGTGTTATGGTGCAAAAAATACGGTATCTTAACTATTAATCCACTTTTATTTGCATCTCATTTGTGGGAATCAAATTTGTAGTTAAAACACATCAAGTCCGTTTGTAATTGATCTGATGCTTATACAATGTTCTTTCTACCAAAGTCTTTCCTTTCACTCCTCTTCGCCCTACTTTGAGACTGTACCTTATTCAGCTTCAGAGCATTTTAATACATCATTCTCTTTCTTGTAATTCCAGGAATCTTGGACACAGCCTAGGCTACCTGAACAATTGCATCTTCCTATATGAACCTCCCAATGGGATCCTCAGGTGAGCACCTTCTCTCAACCCAATCAACTTCAGAAGCACAGTTGGCTGTGACACAAGAGAGAGCCTTTTCAGTGGTGGCTCCCATATTGTGGAATTCCCTTCCAAGAGAGGTTAGACTGGCTCCAACTTTATCATCCTTCTGCTAGCAAGCTAAGACCTTCCTGCTCAGACAGGGCTTTGAAAACTAAGGTATTGACATGCTGATCAATGGCCTACTTGTTAGGGCAACTGTACTTTCCCTGCTGGTGCTAAATATGTTCTGGTGTAATTTAATTATTTTTGTAACTAGTTCGTTTTTATTGCTTTGTATTTTATAATGTTTTTAAATGTGTAAGCCTCCTTGATTCTCAACTTGGGAGAAAGGTGAGGTATAAATGCACTAAACATGTTTTGATACATCGTGCACAAGTGTAGAAAAACTACTTTCACTACACCTATCCCCTAGGATGGCTAAAGGGCAAAGAGCATCTGTTCCCAGATTCCTATCATATAGTTCTATCAAGAACTACTTTAGAGTTCATTCTGAATGCAGCACTGTCAGAGAATATCCAGAGGCTTTAAGACCCGTCTCATAGCATACCCATCTCATACACAGAAAGTGAACACCTACAGACATGCCATTAAAAACTAATACTGCACTATTTCTGCAGCATCCATTTTTGCTTCTGCATTATTAAAGGCACTACCAAGAATGACAAAGGGGACTGGAAAATACTACAGTACTTGGATTTCCCACTGTTTCATGCTTATTTCTAATCCTTAAAACAGCATGAAACTTGGTGGGAATTTACTGCTGCATTTATTATTATGCTGCTGCTGCTTCTCTTTTCTTTAACATTTTATTTTGATTCTGTAATATTAACAGCAAACAATGACATCAAAGGGAGTGTAGTATGTAAGCGTGAAATGCACAATGAATGAAATTAGAACACGATCCTCACTCTTTTTTTTGTTTAAAGAATCGTAATATTATTTTTGCATTTGTATCCTCCCAGTAAGTCTCTCCAAAAAGTATTGTGTGAATCTGGTGCTGACATTCTCCTGCCCAAATAATTCCCCTAGTCTCTGTTTCTACTTAAGAACAAATGCTTTCCGAATCCTTTTCATGTTTCTAAGGGGCAGATATCTGCATTTCAATGTACAGGGGCTTTGCTAAGCGCCTTGAATTTCCAGACTGAAGGCACAGAAATCTTTGTAAGAAGGAAGAGAGAGAGAGAGAGGCAGACAGAGAGAGAAGTCTGCATAATGCTCCCGTCTGGTCTGGTGCGGCGGATGCTGGGCGGTGGCAGGAGGCTGAGTCAAGTTTGCTGGTTCCATATACAGGAAGGGAGGTGCTCATTCTGAATCCTGCCTGCTGTAAGGAGGACCAGAGCCATCACTCATCTATTCTAGATCCAGTGTGTGCAAGGAAAAGGCGGGCTCTCTGTGACAATAGACGGGCTGGATGTAGAGGCATCAGTTTGCCTGCAGACAAAAAGATACGCGGAGCTCCAACGCCTATGCTAGACAGTGGGAAGGACTGGGGGTGGGCTGCCCCCCCCACTTAACCCCCTTCTTAACCCCGAATGAAAGGGGGGGGGCTTTTCTAGATCAAGAAAAGAACAAGGCACTAAAGCACCAGGAATGGGAAGTAAGCAAAGAGGAGGAGCATGGATTACATGGGGGGGGGGGTGTTGAACCAGCTTCCTGCATTAATAGCTACTGAAATTGAAAAGTCTCCAAAAGTCAAAAGACGGGGGGGGGGCGGAATGGCAGTTACCCCACCCACCTTCTCAGCACACAAGAATTCTTCCCTGCGCTGGAACTATTCCTGTAACACCCTAGATTTTTTTTCCCCTCTCCTCCTCTCCAGTGTTGGCATTCGGAGCCCCGTCAAACAAAATGCCTTTGGGAAAAGGCTGGTCGACAACAGGTTCCAGACACAAAGGAAGATCTCAGCTCTTCCCATGACAGATGGCAAAGCGCTGCTTACGGCCCCCTAAGTATTCTTTAGGGGAAAGTGGCGAGAGAGCCTGCGTAAAGGCGCTCGCTTCGCAGCAAAGCCTTTCCCGGACCTGCTACGTCCACGCGCACGTGTACCCCACAAAGCGCCTGCCACTCCCATCTGCTCCATTGCAGAGCCCACCCCCCCCTCGCCAGCCCGATCCACCTCCTTGCTTTTCCAGCAGATCACCTTACAACCCGAGAAAAAGACACACACACCCCCCTTTGGCCACTTGGGCTAGGACAGTTATTCACCTTCGCCAACGGAGAAGTCTCCGTAGCGCGCGCGCGCCCGCGCGCACACACACACACACCGGCCACTCCCTTCAGAAAAACCAGTCACTCTTCCTGACCTCGGCCCCCCCCGGGCCCCTCTGCTCATTGTGCCCCACAATCAGACACCCCCGGCTCCCCAAAACATCCACTCACTCCTTCCCTGGCCAACAGCTGCGCCTCGATCACCCCCCTGAACCCCCAAACTCCCCACGGCCACTCTTCCTCCGCATCCCTGCCTCCTAAGCCCCTTCCCCACTTTCCCCCTGGAGGAGCTCCCGCCGCCTTTCACTACCGTCACCTGCAATGCCTGCCCCCCCCCAAGTTCGTCCCTTGCCCGCCCCCCGCCCCCCCCCTAGAGCCTTCCGTTTCAACAAGTCCTCCAGCCCCCCCCCAAAGAAAACCCCGATCCCTCCCATCGCCGCCACAGACACCTCCCCCCCCCAAAGGAAACATGCCTCACACCCCACCTCCCCGCCATTTTCCTCACGGCTCCCCAGCCTGCCCCTTCCCTCCCCCCCCCAGGAAACTCTCTCCCCACAGCCTTGTAAGGCCGCTCCTGCCACAGTTTTAAGGCCCCCCCCTAGGTCTGAGCCCACCCCCCACGCGGAAACTCCTCCTGCGGCCCCCCCCATCGCCACAAAGCCCATCGGCCACACCCCTGAGCTCCCCTCGGGGGAATCTCCCTCGGAGCTTCCCTGCCCCCCCCACCTCAAGTCTTCCTCAGTTTTCCCCCTGCCCCACGCGCGCGCGCGCACACACTCACCCGGCGAGCCTGAGGCGGCGCCCTTCTTGGCAGCGGCGGGGGGCTCGTCTCTCTTGGGCGGCAGCGGGGCGCTGCGCGGAGGGACGGCGGGGGCGCGGGGCTCCTCCCGGTGCGGCGGAGGCGGCGGCGGCGGGGCGCTGCGCGGGGGGTCCTTGCCCTTCCCCTCAGGCAGGGAGAAGTCGGAGGCGGATGGAGAGAAAGGGGAGGTGGTGGAAGAGGGCGCCTCCGGGTGGCTGGTCCAGGCCGGCTGGTGGGGGGCAGGCGGGGGACCCGGGGGCTTCTCGCCCAGAGGCGGGGCAGAGGCCGGGGCGGCGGGCTTCCTCTCCCTCACTTCCAGCTGCTCGTCGTCCACTTCGTCGTCGTCTTCTTCGTCCTCTTCCTCGGGCTCGCCGTCGTCCTCCGCGACGAACTGGTACTGGAACAGGGGCTGCTGAGGCTTCCACTGGTCCTGCCCTCCGGCTCCCCCCGAGGGGGCGGTGGAAGAGACCAAGGGGGACTGGTCGGGGTCGTCCATGGCTCCTTGCTTCTGCTTCGGGGCGAGAACAATGAGGAACGGGAGCAAGTCACTCGCTGCTGCTGCTGCTGCTGCTGCTGCTGCTTGGGCGCAAAGGAGGCGAGCGAGAGGGATGGGAGGCTGGAGCTCGCCTCGCGCACCGCCGGAGAGGGAGGGGGCAGAGAAAGAGGGAGGGAGAAAGTGAAAGGAGGAGGACCCAAAAAAAAAAGAAGGGAGGGAGGGCGGCTGCGCAAATGCCTCCGGAGGAGCCGGCGCGATGCCTCGGGAGGGGAAAAGGGGCGCCGCCGCCACCAGCGTCTCCACGCCCTGTTGAGTCACAGAAGGCGGCAGCAAGCGCGCGCAACTCGCAGCCTCCGCGCAATGACCGGGCAGAACTTGAACCAAGTCTCAGTCCCCGTCCCCCCTCCCCGTTCTATTCCCCCCCCGGGCGCGCTTTGGAACGAAAGGGACAGCCCAACAGGCCAGTGAGGAAGGGGGCAAGGGAGGGCGCTACCAATTAGAGGGTGGGGGGGAGGAAGATGAAGAGGCAGGCGCGCGCCCTGCCCTACTACGGATCCTCTTTTATCATGCAGCAAAGAAATTGGTTGGTTTTGCGGAGGGGGGGGGGAGGTGGAGGTGGAGGTGGAGGTCCCGAAGTGGGGGAAAGTTCGGTCCTCGGCGCGCGAGGGCGGGGTCCGGACCGGAATGGACTCCAGCCACGCTTCGCCCTCCCCTTTCCGAGCATCTTTCAGAGGAGGAGCCGGGGAAGACCTCGTGCTTTTTGGGAAGGGGAATGTTGGCTGGCGCTTTCCCTCTGATAAGTTAGCTTGTTTTCAGATCCAAGATGACGTCGTCGTTTAAAGGAGGTGCTCTCTTTCTTTTAGATATATATTTTTTTACGTGACTCGGTTTTTAAAAAGCTTTGGATATGGAAAACTTTGACAGCCGTTCAGTGGCTTGCGCTACTCAGAGTAGACCCACTGAAGTTAATAGGCACGACTGACTTGGTTTTAATAGGCCTTGTCTAGGTAGGACATCATTGAACGCAACCCTTTAATTTGTACCTGCGCAAAAGAGATGCCATGGAAAAAACATTCAGACATTCCTTGGCGATTTTTAATTAAATTGCCGGCCTAGCATCCCTTTGACATTCCCCTGGGCATAATAAGGCTGGTCACTATGAGAAAAGAATGCCGGGCTGCTTGGGGCTTGGGCTTAATCCAGCAGGCTCTTCCTAGGATTAAGAAAATAAGTGGTGCAGAATTAAAACCACAGTTGCAAAGCTAAGCAGGGTCTGGTATGGTTTCAAATTGGATGGGAGAGCAAGGGCCCCGCAGGGGGTTGGACTAGAAGATGACTTTCAGGATCCCTTCCAACTCTACTGTTTTATTATTCTGAATTCTTCAGGTAAAGATCTCTTTAATGCATCTGACTGCAGACGAGGAGAAGCCTGACTTCTTGAACGTCTGCACTAGCGGTGAGAAACCTGTGGCCCTCTGTGGTGGTTTTTTGGGGGATGCCATATGCCATCAGCGCCAACCAGCAAGCCCAGTGGTCAGGGATGATGGGTACAGCAACATTTGTTGGGCCACAAGTTCCACATCACCTGTTGCCTGGAGTAATTAAATATTTTAAGGAGTGCATTGATCTATAAGTCAAGAAAATTATAGAACAGAAGTAGTTCTGTTGTCATGTGAGTGTTTCTGTGCAGGCCTGGCCTGCTCTGTATGCTGAGCCCTTTACTATTATCTGTGGTGGCAAATCCCATTGCTTCAGAATTTGGGTTACCACATGCCTTTGCAACGAAGGCTTTCGTAAACAGAGGTGGATAAACGATTATAAGATGACGTAGCTGGTAATTACAAAGGGGTAATAGCTAATGTTTAAGAGGACATTATTATAATTGACGAAAAGCATTTCTTGTGTTTTGGTTTATTTCCACCCTGCCTTTGATGTGAGCTGGCCTTAGGGATTCCTTGAGGATTGACAGGCAGGATGGGAATTAATAAAATATGTACAACAAAATTGTTTAAACAATTGAAACCCTTCGATTAAAAATACGTTTAAAGCTTTTCAGAAATGTGTTTCTCTGCAGAGCACTGTAGCAGGACCATCTCTAGCCATCATCATTGTTTGGACTCTTCTACCCCAACCACACACAAACGTTATATATAGTCTTCATTTATATAATATCCCTATGTAGTCCATCAACATCTGGCGGGCCACTGGTTTCCTGCCCTAGAGGATGGTAGCTGCCTCATTCCCACTGACACACTTAGTGTGTTGCGGGACAACCACTTCCTTCAAAAAACAGCCATTTCCTATGATTAAAAAAGGGTGTTTTCCTTCTCTACCCAGACTAGAGGCCTTTTTGCTGTGCCAGGGCAGAGAGAGAGGTCTCCCTGCTGCTGTGCCTCAAGTGGCAGAACAAAACCTTGTTTCTTTATCTCCAGCGCTGTCCAAACAGACATGACTAATGTTACAGCTTCTTGATGATAATTACAGGCACCACTAAATTCTCCCACACAGGATAGATTCAGGGTGCCAGCTATTATTTGGGAGAAGGTTGCACTTTGTGAGTAAAGGAGCGTCTCCACCCCACTTCAGCCCGGACACTGAGATCCAGCCGAGATAACAACTACTGCATTCAAAGACAGGTAACAAGCTACCTGACATCAGATGACATCTGAAGGCACCCTGTTCAGGGAGTTTTTGATAAACGTGTATGTTTTTACACTTGATTGGAGCCGCCAGAGTGGCTGGGGAAACTTAGCCAGATGGGCGGGTATAAATAAATTATTGATTATTATATTATTATTATTATTATTATTATTATTATTAAAGGGACCCCTGACTATTAGGTCCAGTCGTAGACGACTCTGGGGTTGCAGCGCTCATTCTCGCTTTATTGGTCGAGGGAGCCGGCGTACGGCTTCCAGATCATGTGGCCAGCATGACTAAGCCGCTTCTGGTGAACCAGAGCAGCACACGGAAACACCGTTACCTTCCCGCCAGAGTGGTAACCTATTTATCTACTTGCACTTGGACGTGCTTTCAAACTGCTAGGTTGGCAGGAGCAGGAGACCGAGCAACGGGAGCTCACCCCGTCACGGGGATTCAAACCACCAACCTTCTGATCGGCAAGTCCTAGACCTGTGGTTTAACTCACAGCACCACCCACATCCCTTTTAGTTTTGTGATAGTGCGGCTTAATTACACACACGTACAGGCTCAGCATCAGATGGGAGAGCTCACAGCTTTAACTTCCCAACTGATCCTGCTCCCTCCCATTAGGTTTCTAGGGGAGTTCCCAAAGTCACCGCTTTCGTTTCAGTGCATAGAGCAAGCCAAGCATCCTTCCCAGCTACAGCCAATATAAGATTGGCCACTGACCTGTTCTCCTTCATCCAAGATGACATTGCCTCAGCTCAAGTGATGGGCGAAGGTTTGCCCCCTACTGGAAGCATCAGTAGCTAGTAGTTTCTCTGGCAACATTCCTATTGCTTGGCCAACTCTTGAGTCAAGCAAAGAGATACTTATCAGACTTGGCGATGGTTGCAAGGAGACTGGTTTGACCGCTTCTGCAGTTCCTTCTACACAATCCTGTTTTACAGATGATAGAACTACAAGCCTGGAGGGGACTTGGATAGGACATCCAGACTAACACCCACACCCCGTCATGCAACTTTATTATACATACATTGTGTGGGAGGACTTAACTTTTTCATATTACTTCCCCATAACTGAGAAGCAACAGCTTGGTTTCCTGCTTTGAAGAACACGGGGAGGAGCAGAACGCTGGTGCTCTCCACATTGTGACTTTATTTTAGGTGACAAATTAATGGGACAGAAAGGGCCTGTCTGGCAATCTGCATGGCTGTCTGTATGTACTCATAGCCAGTGGTGTCTCCAGGGCTATGACTCAGACATCAATGGTGGCACTTAGCAGAATGCACAAGCACAACCAAGGCTGGCTTACCGCATTTGGATTTAGTGACATCATACACATTGCCCTCTTAACAATCCATAGTCTAAAATTTTCTAACTGGACCACTCACTTCCGGTGGCCCATCAAGCCAGGAAGAAATGGTGGCAGTGATGTGGGGACCCAGATTATGCTACTCAGGCTGTGTGCACATCCATGTAAAGCACATGACTTCCCTCCAAAGAATTATGGGAACTGTAATCTGATAAGACACGGGTGGCACTGTGGGTTAAACCACAGAGCCTGGGGTTGCCGATCAGAAGGTTGGTGGTTCAAATCCCCGCAATGGGGTGAGCTCCCGTTGCTCGGTCCCTGCTCCTGCCAACCTAGCAGTTCGAAAGCACATCAGAGTGCAAGTAGATAAATAGGTACCATTCCGGCGGGAAGGTAAACGGCGTTTCCATGCGCTGCTCTGGTTTGCCAGAAGCGGCTTAGTCATGCTGGCCACATGACCCGGAAGCTGTACGCCGGCTCCCTTGGCCAATAAAGCCAGATGACCTAATGGTCAGGGGTCCCTTTACATTTACCTAATCTGATAAGGGGACTTGTAGCCCTGTGATAGAGAAATGACCATTCCCAGAATTCTTTGGGGGAAGTCATTTGCTTTAAATATATATTGTGAATTTAGCCTTGGTACAGAGTGCCAGTGCTAAATTTCTAGTTCCACACACCCGCCCTGAAGGTATTAGACGTCTAAGCCAAGGATTTTGTGATTTAAAAAGAAAAGAAAGACATAGTTCCGTAGTTAAACAAGGTATTGGTTTTTTTAGCCGTGTCATTCATGGCCTTGACTCATTCCACTATTTATAAAGTCCATGGTGAAAAGCGAGGGATGCAAATTGTGTCATTACTTCATCCCAAGCAGTAGGAGAATCTGCACCAGCTTGTCACTGTCTGGCAACGAGCCCCTGACGGAAGCTTATATTGGCTGCAGATTAGTTGATCTCTCCGCTTTGCCTGAAGAAAAGACTCCATGGGCACCTGTGAAAATCAGATATGGAGCTTGGTGGTGCTGGTCTTCTGAACTGGAAGGGTGTGTGGGTGGGTGTGAGAGAGAGAGAGAGAGAGAGAGCGCTCTTCTGTTAATATCAGTAGCACTTGCTAACCATGGAAAGGAGCTCAGTTAAGTGCATTGAAGCCCCATTCACTGCATGAGCAGAGGTTTAAGCGCACAATTAAAGGTAAAGGGACCCCTGACCATTAGGTCCAGTCGTGGCCGACTTGGGTTGCGGCGCTCATCTCGCTTTATTGGCTGAGGGAGCTGGGGTACAGCTTCCGGGTCACGTGGCCAGCATGACTAAGCCGCTTCTGGCGAACCAGAGCAGCGCACGGAAACGCCTTCCCACTGGAGCGATACCTATTTATATACTTGCACTTTGACGTGCTTTCGAACTGCTAGGTTGGCAGAAGCAGAAGACTGAGCAACGGGAGCTCACCCCGTCATGGGGATTCGACCTGCCGACCTTCTGATCGGCAAGCCCTAGGCTCAGTGGTTTAACCCACAGCGCCACCCATGTCCCAATATGAATAATTGGATCTGTAAAATGTGATTTCCTTTTCCTGAATCGGCCTCGGTGTAATTGCCTGTCACTGGAAGGACAGATCCTGAAGCTGAGGTTCCAATACTTTGGCCACCTCATGAGAAGAGACCCTGATGTTGGGAAAGATTGAGGGCACAAGGAGAAGGGGACGACAGAGGACGAGATGGTTGGACAGTGTTCTCGAAGCTACCAGCATGAGTTTGACCAAACTGCGGGAGGCAGTGGAAGACAGGAGTGCCTGGTGTGCTCTGGTCCATGGGGTCACGAAGAGTCGGACACGACTAAACGACAACAAAATTCAAAATGTTCTGCAGACACAGGGCAACAGGTTCTCCACTGGATAAAATGTGGGGGGGTGGGGGAGGTGTTCATAGCTCCATCTTTTGTCTGCTTGACTGGTCCGTTTCCATGGATACACGCCACTGACAGACACTCCGGGGCTGAAACACAGGCAGAACTTTGCTTTCTAATAATAATTAGTACAAACATCAAAATCTTACCGACATAATTGGAATTGTAACGTTGGAAGGGATCTCAAGGAATCAACTAGTCCAGTTCCCTGCAGTGCAGGAGTCTCAACGTACAGTCTCCCATGCATTTTGAAACCTTACCTGGCCCTGCTTAACTTTGCAAATATACTAGCATATTTATTGCTGCCCCACTAGGATTTAGGGCAGGTTGCAAGGGACAGAATCCAACCACTTAACAGCTCAGAACTTTGTTTGTGAGGCAACAAAGACAATGGTGGGCTGCCAGCCTGTGCATGTTTATTCAGAAGTAAGCCACCTGTTTGAAGGGCTGATTTAGGCTCCAGTCTGAAACCAGATTTTGGGTCCATGAGCCACCAGCTGAAGCCAAATGTTTGAAAATGTGCCTCAGCTTTTGCCTGTAAGTGAACTGGAATATAATAACCTGCCTTAAACCAAGTCATATCCTTGGTCCATCTAGCACAGTTTTGTCAACACTGGCTGGCAGCTGCTGCTGCAAGATTTCAGACAGAGGTATTTCTCAGCGCTGCTTGTTGAGTCTGGAACTGGTGGTCCTCAAGAGCTTCTTCCTCTCGTCTTTTCAGTTTGCTGCCTTGTATTGCTCAATCTTTTTGGCGCTCTTCCCTTGTCTCTTATCTCCAATACTGAGTCACTTCCCTCCTTCCGATATTAGACGAAAAACTCTTCCGCTTCTCTTTAAGCTGGATATTGATTCTCTGTCTCCATCAAACAGACCGCAGTAAACGCACAGTGTGAAGGATGTGGCATAAAAACAAACCCAGTTTAATTTTGAGCAATATACTGTATTTTTCGCTGTATAAGACGCCCCAGACTGCAAGACACACCTAGTTTTTGGAGGAGGAAGACAAGAAAAAAAATATTCTGAATCTCAGAAGCCAGAACAGCAAGAGGGATCGCTGCTCAGTGAAAGCAGCAATCCCTCTTGCTGTTCTGGCTTCTGGGATAGCTGCGCAGCCTGCATTCGCTCCATAAGACGCACATGCATTTCCCCAAACTTTTTAGGAGTCTTATAGAGCAAAAAATACGGTACCTCGCTCC